CTGGTACCATGACGACGTGTGGAACATTAAATATCTGAGGGGGTTTAAGTGGGCGGATTTGATGGAGCAGGTGCAGCGGGAGAGGGCGGAGAGGGAGGCGAGGAGGCGGATTGAGGATGCGCGGGCGAGGAGGGAGGAGAAGGCGTTTTTGGCTGGGGTGGAGAGGGGGAAGGTTGTTGAGGGGATTCGGAGGAAGAGGGCGGAGAAGGCGAAGGGGAAGGGGAAGGAGGTGGTGGAAGGAGAAAAGGCTGCGGGTGGGAATGTAGATGGGGTTGGGGCTGGGGAGGAGAAGGGTTTTAAGGCCAAGGCTGGTTTGGATGTTCGGAGGGTGTTTAGGCAGAACGAGGTGCTGGGTAGTGGGAAGGCGAGGGATAGGGGGGAGAAGGCATTGGATGCGGATGCGAAGAGGGTGTTGGGGAAGATCTTCTAAGGGTGGTCATTCTCTCTTATGCTTATAGATATTATTTATACACTCGAGGACAAGATTCGTTTGCGTCTACATCAGTTAACCCTTTATCCAAATAAAGAAACTGCCACAGTTCCGTGATTCTTGAATACTTTATATATATATATTTTTTTAAATCACATCTACCCTCATAGTAACGCCAATGGCCCCATCATAAATGCAAAATATTAGTCATGGCTATAAAGAAAAGCAGAACAGGCAAAACCTGTCTTAACCGTTCACGTTCAATTCCTCAAAATCGTCAAGAAGCTCATCCATGTTTATCTTAGGGATGCCATCATCATCGTCATCCTCGTCATCTTCCTCCACAACACTCATCGCATCTTTATCGACACCATCCATACGCTCAGCATCAGCTTTCGCCTTTTTGGCTTTGTAAAGCGCAAAGGTGCTTCTCAACTCCTTATCCTCCTCGACATCCCGCAAGAACATCTCGAAATCTTCCTCCGCACGATCTCTCTCTTGTTTCCGTGATGAGGCGGCAGCCTCCTCTTCCTCGCGGTTCATACGCTTGAGGCGCCAGTTTCTCTTGGGCTTCTTCTTCCTGGGATAGTGCTTCCTCACGAGAATCACGTCGGGGATCGTAGAACTATATGTATGGCTTTGTTCCAAAGCCTCGTAGTTGGCGTCGTTGAAATTTGACCCCGACAACAGATAACCCTTCACAGAATCCCCGACATGAAGGACGCCACCAAGGTGCGTTCTAGTGAAATAAGTAGTGTCGTTCACTCCGAGGTCGGACGCCCGTGCGACGGTGACTTCAGCGAGATGGAAGTGGCCAACTGATCGACCAGCAGGTTCGATATCCATAACAATGAATTCAACAAGTTCTTGGACATCTGCCACGCCTTTGAACGGAGTTCTCCAGTATATTGGGGAAGGGATGTCGGCCGTTTGAAGGGTAGCTGGATCCAACAAACTAATCGAAGTTCCCACACGATAACACAGAGTAAGAGGATGGATGTTACCCAAGGATTTGGCTAGCGATATGGGGAGGGCGACCAGGTCGTCTTTGCAAATAGGTACCAGGTAAACGGAATAGGAGATTTTGTAAGATTTGGTCGACGTGTGAACGTCCATGGAAATGAGCTCTTGCGATTTCTTGACTCGAGTTGGAGCAACAGAAGATAAGAAATCCACCATCTTCTCTGCGTGGTTTCGTTGTGAGAAAAAGAAGTCCAGGCCATCCTTGGCTTCCTTGATGTTAATCGTATCCTTGTGGGCGTTATGTTTTAGAATCAACTGTTCTAGGTACAAGAACGTTCGTTTGTGAGGGACTTTTTGCCGGACTTGCACAGCCGCTCTCCAGGTATTAGGGGTATACGATTTGGCACACTCGGAGCATTGTTGAGACGCCACCACATATTCTACCTCAAAGGTCTGCTGCAGAATGGTCCCTTCGAAGGCCTCTTGCTGAACTGTAATTTTGACCTTAATTCGTTTAGAATGAGGTTCTGTCCATATGAATCCGGCGTCGATAATGCGAACTTTGCCCAAACCACGCAGTTTTCGGAGACATAGCGCAAGTAATTCCCTCGACTCGAGGGTAGCACTTATCCACTGGGAAGGTGGCTGTAGCCAACGTTCGCAGTCCTTACAACAGTGCAGTGTGGCTTCTCGCTGTATTCCTTGTGATATGTCAACTGTAAGCTTCACACAATCTTCACAAAGGGCGCCTGCAGAAGTTGTCCCATCGATAGGAGCACCGCAGTTACAACATAGGATCCTAAATAATTTGTTAGATAATTTCTTTCTCGGTAAGTCAAGACAGGCGGTTGGAAGTGCTCACGTTGCTGTTTGTTGCTGCGGTTTGTATGCAACCTGCTGCATGGGCATCGGGGAATCCAAGTCCATCGACATGATGGTAGATAAAATGGGAAACTGAGATAACTCTAGTATTTCGAGCGAGTGTTGTAAAGTAGAACGGATGTCATCGCAAAATATCAAAAAGCATTTTGCCCCTCTAGAATCTCATAAAGTAGATTATTAATGGGCCTCGTCTCGGATTTACATTTAACCGACATCCTCAACACGGCAACCATTTTTTTTGATTCTTCTTCCTTCTTCCTCTTGCTAACGGACAAGCAGTATTTGCACCTATCGGCCCAATTTGCGGGCAATTGTCATATTCACAATGCGTCGGGCTCTACTAACGGGCATCCAATGCCATGCTTGTCGAAATAATGTCGTTCGTTCGTTTGTTTCCGTTTCTGGTGTGACATTCATGCCTCTAGCAAGTGGTTCATGGTCTGCCTCTCAGACCCGCCCTCCACCTCTCTCACGGAATTTTTCATCTCAGCACGCGAAATTATTTTCGAGCCATCCCTCTGACAATGCTGAAGTGGCTGTTGATCCTATGCCTGAGAAGGACATTACGGAAGAGACGGTGAAGCCACCAGAAGAACCCGAAGAACATATACCCTGGTACCTTCAAGAAGAACTTGAAGCCACAACATCACACCCCCTAAGAAAGCAACAACCGCTGCCTCCTCTTCCGGAGAACCCACCCCCAATATTAAATGGCCTACTTGAACATATATCTATCGACCTTGGCCTCGATGATATTAGCCTGCTTGATCTCCGCAAACTTGATCCTCCTCCCGCTCTGGGAGCAAATCTCATTATGATTTTCGGTACTGCTCGAGGCGTGAAACATCTCAATGTTTCAGCAGATAGATTGTGTCGGTGGCTGCGTACTACCTATAAGTTACGGCCTGATGCCGATGGTCTCCTAGGCAGAAACGAGCTAAAGATTAAGCTCCGAAGAAAGGCTCGTCGTGCAAAGCTAGCCAAGAGCGCCAAATCAACTCTTACGGCGCCCGACGATGGAATCACAACGGGTTGGATATGTGTCGATGTGGGAACCGTTGAAGGCGGTCAATTCCGCAAACCGGAGGAAGAGGCTCGGAAAGTCGGTTTTGTTGGCTTCGGAACGTTTGTGCAGGGGACTCGGATCGTTGTGCAATTGATGACAGAGGAGAAAAGGGAAGAAGTTGACCTAGAGGGTCTTTGGCGTCGGACGCTGGAACGAAACTCCTTGGAGAATGAAGGCCTCCCGCAACCGCAGGCGGAAGAGCCTCCACAAGAGGCGGGTGATATCCATAAACCTTCATCTGTTACACCAGCTCACATCAGTCATCGAGTTAGCCACGCGGCCCAAATTTCGGTCAACTATGAACAACGAAGGGGTATATCTACTGGGTCTCGTCAGAACCGAGACCTCGAAGAGGACGGGTTGAATTACGCGCCGATAAACCCAGACGGAACAATTAAACTTCCGGAACTGATTTCTGAATCAACTCCCCTAACATCGCTGACTTCCCGGTTAAGAAATATTTCTCCATATGAAGCGATCTATCATCTCGGACAAGACGTTAATGATACAAATTCTACGACATTTTTAGAGCAATTTTACCGGAAACTCTCGAAAGCTCCCGATGATCTGGCGTCCGCTCAAAGAATAAAACTTATATGCATTGCAATCATGCTTCATCATCCCGGTTATGGCAAAACAGACCTCTTCAAGGTGACCCAAGAGCATTTCATCTCAAACTACGGTGTAACGCCCCCCCAATTCCTGGAGATTTTGGATGCGTTGCTCTCATTCAAACCCGATCTGACCTCGGATCCTCCCAATCTGCTTCTTCCAGCCGCTGATATGGAATTGGCATTACAAACCATAGATCATGTGGGACTCCGAGGTATCGACCTCCTTAACTCGACTGTTTGGATGAAACTTTTTGTCGGCGCCTCATTTCGCGTGCCGGTCTGCCCAGTAAGGGATCTTATGAATGCCCCGGTTATCGGCAACCGTACTCCGGTTTCCCTTGATACGTACGAGACAGTAAATCGCGTCCAGACGCGTCTACTCAAAGTCAAAACAGCCGCCAAAATAGAACTGAGCGCAAACGAGTATCTGAGCCTGCTTCGTGTGCTCTTCGACCACGAATGGTACTCAATGTTCTGGGATACATGGGAAGAAATAGCGCTGGCTGGGATGCCTCGAGACAAATCGCTTTACGTGTTTCTTTTCCAGCTCCACGCCGAATCGGATGGCTGGGAAGGTTGGAAGTCGACCCTTCTGAACTGTATTCCAATGATGGAAAGAGAAAATCCCCCAGTATATATGGACCGTGAGCTAGCAGAGGTTATAGCAAGATGCCTTGCTATAGCACATCCAGAGATAATGGATAGAGTTGAGCGAAACGAGCCGAGTCCCTTGGTCCGGCTGTGGCACCGCTGTCGAATCGCGGTTGAAAAGGAGGTTCCTTTGAGAGGGGCACAAAATCCCCCTTCCACCATGTCTTGACGATCCCTCAATATTCTAGTTTATATACCCCTAATAAATTTCCTGGACAATACAATGAGATCCGCATGTATATAGCATAGAGCTCGAAATTCAATGGAAAAACGAAAATTAGACGAATAAATAAATCAATGATGAGCTACGAGACTGAAATCTGATGAGTCAGCATTTCTCATCGCTACCTACCTCGGCTGTTTATTGACCAAAAGCCGCCATCCCCAACTTTCTAGGAGAACATTAGCGGCGACAAGCCGGCAGACCGTCTCCTCAGGCCTAGCCTGTGTTAAGAACTTCCCATCTCTCCCTGCAATACAGAGAGGCAGTCAAGGACATCAATTCGCTAGCATGGAGTATATGTCCGCTCTACAGAACGAGTTCGACGATTTCAAGCCTTCGCTCTTCGGTAAGCTCATCTCCGTTTTCTCCCATACGCCTCGTTTCTATGTGCTGAAATACCAACTCGACGCCGTCTCCTGAGCTCGTTCATTCATTAATTCCATGCTAACCAAAATCCCCAGAAATCCTCTCAGAGCAGCAGCTCTCAGCCCTTCTACCCCCGTCTCTCCGCTACGTCCTCGCCGTCGCCACGCACCGACACCCCCGCTACCTTCTCCGTGCCCTCAACTCATACGACGAACTATACGCCCTCCTCTCCCTCCTCGTAGAACGCTACTACCTTCGCACCTTCGGCGGCTCTTTTACCGAGAACTTCTACTCTCTAAAACGCGAACGCGTCCTCGCGACCAAAAATGGCGAGGTTCCACGCGCCCAGCTCGGCGCGGCGGGGCCCGTCCGCGAAACGCTTAAGCTCCGCTCGTCAGACATATGGAAGAATCTGGCTGTGATGGTCGGGATACCTTATTTGAAACGGAAACTGGATGAAGGATATGATATCCACGCCGCTCCGCATGCTGCGCTGGCGGCCAGCGGAGGAGGAGGGCCACGATATCATCCGGACGACGACCTCCCGCACAACCCCACCGTGCGCCAGCGGCTAATGCACTATTACAAATGGTTCCTGCGGAATGTCTACCCGTCGCTGAACGCGGCGTACTATTTTGCCATTCTAGCTTTTAATCTTGCCTATTTGTTCGATAACACAAAGTACTCCTCGCCTTTCCTATGGCTGATAGGCACACGGATACGAAGGCTGGGACCTGCCGACCACGCTGCAATAGAGCTAGCTACGCAACCTCCAAAGGCGAAGACGAAAACTCCGGGCACCCGGCCCAGCGGTGCATTGGGCTTCCTCCGCCCGGAGAATATATACCCGCATCTTCTAGGGTCACTGAAGATCTTCCTTCCAACCTCCATATTCGCGCTAAAGTTTCTAGAGTGGTGGCACGCGAGCGATTTCTCGCGCCAACTCGCTCGCAAAGCGACAGAGGCACTTGACCTACCCGCCCCGGTTGTCTCGGGCATGTTATCGCCTACAGCAGCGACCGCGGCTGCAACAGCGTCTGCTACGGCGAAGAAGGCAACCACATCCACAACTACCAGCAAATCGTCCGACAAGCCTTCGAGCTCGCAAACACATATCCCCAAACGTCCCAATCCGCCCCCCATCTCCTCAACATCATACCTCCCCATCTTCACCGTACCTTTACCAGCCGTCGACCCGGCCGCTGCTGATGCGAACCCTGCTTCTGCCTCCACTCAATCCCCCTGCCCAATCTGTCTCAACCCTCTTAATAACCCTACAGCCTGCCAGACAGGGTACGTCTTCTGCTACAGCTGCATCTTCCGCTGGATAAACGGAGAGCATGAGCGGCAGATTGACTTTATGAATGGGAAAGGTTCGGAGTGGGAAGATGATGGTGATGGTGATGGTCATGGGAGAGAGAATACGGTACAAACGGTGACTGGAGAGATGAGCGGTACGGATGGGGAAGGCGGGAAAGGGAATGATCTTGACAATAAGAGTAGTCGGGTTGGGAGATGGGAGAGCGGGGAGGGGCGGTGTGCGGTTACTGGGCGCAGGGTATTGGGTGGTTCGGAGGGGCTGAGGAGGGTGCTTGTTTGATGTTTTTTTTTAATCTTTTTTCGTACTGGTTTTGTCAAGGTTGGTTGGGTAGGATGGGATGGACATGATTTATATATAGATACTCAAATTCAGTTTAGAGATATGTATCATAGATGTATGTAGATAGCATTTCCTCATCAAGATAACTAACTACATTAGAATATCATCATAATACTACATCATTTAATAATAATCTAGCTCAGCATAAGAACCCCAAGGAATATTTGCAATCGGGTAGAGATGTCTGTCCAAAGCTCTCGTTCATATTGCACCATGCTCTCACCTTTACCTCGTCTAAATTTTGAAGCTAATCTTATCATATTCCAGCTAATAATAGATAGTTATATTGCATGGTTATCTTTTGTCATCTACGGAGTATATGTAAAGAAAAAAGATTGGAAAATATCCCACCAATTCCTCAACTGATCATCCACACCCGGGAAGGTAGGGTAAACCGAGAAGTGAGAGAAAAAAAAGAAAAAGAAAAAGAAAAAAAGAAAAGGAAAAAGCCAACCCGCATGAATATCTAACACGGACAAAGCCAATGCCAATAGGAATATCTAGTTATGAGACATATAGACATAGAAAACGAGACATATGTGCAGCTTATGCCTATGTAGGTAGATAGGCTGAGGATGGGAGTATATATGCAACAACGGAAAAAATGCAAAATATATCATGCCATGCCAGTGAGGAATGAGAAAACAAAAAACCAGAGAAAGACAGAGATATATCTCGCTCAATGCAGCAAAAAAGGAAACCAATCAAAACATAAACACGTAAAACAGACCAACATCCCCCCTTCCTTCCCCCTCCTTCCTAAATCCCCAACCACCACTTCGACCTCTCATAAACAAAGAAGCTCACCGCAACCATAGGCACAACCTTCATATACCCAATCGTCAACCCAACCCAAAACCCGCGAAACCCCTTCTCCGCAAAAATCCGCTTCCCCGTCTCCGCAATCCCCACCCGATGCCCATCGCCCACCGCACCAGCAACCTGCATGCGGCGCCGGATGACTTCAAGTGGGTACGAGCTCGTCTGTGACACGAGGCCTGCTAATGCGCCTGATAGCAGCTCGGCCGGGGCCGTTAGTTGCACACGCTTGTAGGGCTGTGGGGCGGAGGCGGGGGAGGAGGCGGGTGGTTTGTCGGAGTGCGGGATTGTGGTGTAGGCCGCGAGCTTTGGATGGCGGAGCCAGTCGCCGACGGTGTCGTGGGTCAAGAAGGAAACGCCGGCGTAGGGGAGCATACCGAGGAGGGTTGGAGAGAAGCCGCGGTAGAAGTTTGAGAGGCCGTAGCGGGGGGGCTTGGATGGGAGACAGGACGTGGGAGGTGTGAGGGGTTTTGATGAGGTAGATGTAGATGCAGCGGTAGCGGTAGCGGATACCGTCCCAGGTCTATTCTCATTATAAATCTGACGACAAATCCTCCGCAGCGACGAGCGGACATTATGCTTCGTCTCAAACGCCAAGCGCACCCGCATCACCTCCAGAGGGTATGTAAAGAACACGGACGTCAGCCCAGCAGTGCTGCCACTAATCAATCGGCGGAACGGCGTCTCTCTGTCCCGTGACGGGATTACCACGGCGCGGATCTGCTCGTAGGCCAGGAACTTGATAGCGGCGTAAGGGAAAATGCGAAGTAAGGTTGCCGAATGGCCCTTGAAAAGCCCCCTGACGCCTTCGTGGCTGTTTATGTCTTTCATGGCACTCACGACACCGAACCAGCCAGTGGAGTATTTTGCGAATTGAGGGTTGGAGGTTTGGAAGAGAATCTTGACACGGTCCAGAGGGCCGACGACCGTTTTCGCCTGTATAGGTTTTACATATGTGATTAGTTATCTTTTCCTCTTTTACGGACGAAAGCACCAGTGACATCTAGGGGACAAAAAAAAAATGAAAATAAACATAAACATAAACATAAACATAACCAGCAAAACATACCGCACAACCCGCCAAACCTCCCGCCAACCCGCTTTTAAGTATATAATCCAAACTCCTCTTATCAAGCGCCTTAACATCCGCATTGGCGGCGATATGCGCACGCGCATCCGCCCCCCCTCCCTGCCTCCCCTCCCCCACCCCAGCATCCAAGGGCTCTATATTCTCATGGTCGGTAGGACAAACGCTCGCAGGCGGAAGAGTCGACGCATTTTCCTTCACCTTCACCATCTCCATCCTTAGGTCCATCGGGGATCCGGATTCCGTACCGGTGATACCTCCTCGACCAGCGCCGTGTAGCGGGGGAGCTGAATCGCCGGCGGAGAGATTGTAAAATTGCGACGTAGCTGTTGTTATTGGTGTCGTCGCAGGGGAGAGTTTCGGAGGCGAGGAGGAGGACGAAGGAGCATGCGCTTGGGTATGTGTAGTATGTGTGTGTGTCTGCGAAGTAGGATGCGATTGCTGCATCGGCGTCTGTATTCTATCCTACCGCGTTACCTTTCTCGCGAGGTGCGTCCTCAATTCCCGAACCTCGGGTAACCTCCGTGATCCTGCTGACCAGGAAGCAGAAATGAAATGAAAGAAACAGAAAAATTTTAGTATTCTCAACCTTTTTTCCAAAAAAGGAATAACACTACTCCGTCCTATTTGTTACCTGGATTATCAGAGCATCGCTTCCTCGAGGCGTAATACAGACGGAAGAAACGGAATGCTTATGGTGGCAGTCTTGTGGTGGGATATGGCTATCGTCTGTGCCGCCGGCATTTCTTCCTTAGCTCCGTGCCAACCACAGGGAGACAACACAGGGTGAAAATGTGCGATGTAGTTTTGTTTTCTTTCTTGCTTAAGGGTTCTTCGGTACCGCGAGCAATTAATCAATGCATCGTGTGGAGAGCGGAGTTGTTTAAACACTTTGGTCTTTGGTGGTTTGGTGGAGTGGTTTGGAAGAAAGAAACAGGAGGGAAAGCAAGGCGTGGGGAAGGGGAGGGAAAGTAGCTCCCGTCCACCGTACCGTACCGTAATTACCCTGCCCGCCCTTGATCGTCCCTTGCTTGCATCGGCCAAATGAGAAAAGATACGAACACAATACAGCGAAACATGCCAACAAATACACGAAAGGGGAAAGAACGTCGGCTGGCATCGGCAAACTAGGCTGTTTCGGGCAACGCTCCGCGTGAAATTTCGCCCCCACCACCCGGGGTTTTGGTATTGGCACTGTATTATTACGCTGTACCAGCTGGACGGGCGAGGGCTGAACATTTGCCGCTCGGTGAAGGTCACGTGATTGTTGTGGCATTACCATTTTTGTTGGAATGTTATTGGTTGCTATCTAGTGTGGGCTATATGCTTGGTGCGAGGCGCTAGTCCGTACTAGGAAGCCTAGGGCTCCCACAATTTTGATTCAATATACGGAGTACTTTTCCCCCATCGCGTCCCTCCCAGGACGAAAGCCCTTGTCCCTTTCATACCCTTAAGAGAAGAAAAATTAGAGGTTAAGAATAATAAAAATAAAAGTATCCCGCCGACCAAAACCTGAATGTAATAAATACACCTCCCCCCCCCCCCCCCCGGGTCTCCGCCCAAAACTATATAAATGCCAGCAATAATAACAATAGTAGCCAAGTTATATATCAAAAAAATGTGTGGAAGGTTTAAGGGATGGAAACGCCTAGTCTATGCAATGAAGCGCCCTAGCTAACAGAAAAGCCATGCCAGAAATTGTCTTGAGAAAAATATAATAATAGAAATCATAGATATAAAAACCTCAAGGAAAGAAAAAAAATTGCGCGGGCCGGGTGATTAAGATGAGAGCCAGAACTGTGCTGTCCTTGGCCAAAATTATACGCCGGGTTGTACACAAGATTCGGATGAAGAGGGTCTACGGGTTGTCGGGAGGCAGGCACACGGTTTGCCCTTGGTCGTCACTGTGGAAGGGCGTGACTGCGACGGGAGTGACAGAAGTGGTATCTGCTCAAAACTGATACTTCGTCCCCTGCCTTGTAAGCGGCTTTCCTTGTCGATTCGTAGCCTTCCCCTCCTTCTCCTTTTCCCTCGTATCATCCGAAGCTGCAGCTGTAGCCGTGGACCGCTTAGCTTTCTTCGTCGGCCGCGCCGGCTCGACATGCAAGTGTCCGTTTTCCCGCAGTGCAGTCCCGTTCTTCCATCTCAGACAGCGGTATCGGCTCGATAGGTCCTCTCCCCCAGAGGGCTTCGTCCGGGTAGACATTCGTGTCGGCATCGCTGGCGCCTCTTCCTCCGGCTCTGTGCTTTTCTTCTCATCAGCATTCTTTCCAACGTAATCCGCTCGATTTCGCATGTACTTGGCGATGCTATCACGATACAACTGCAGTTCCTTGCGCAGCTTCACCTCCCGGATACCGCGGGAGTCAAGCCAGCTGATAAGCTGGTCGAGAGACTCTGGATCGTCATAGTAGCCCCATTCCAAAGCGGTGGAAACACCCACCGAACCCTCCTCGAGCTCTTTCCGCTGTCTCACTGTCATTTTGAACCGCTGGATGTACTTTTCATTTTCTTCAGCCGCTAAATCAATAAAGCCCTCCCGTTCCATATCGTCGGGACCTTGAACCCATAGTCGTCCATTCGCATAGTTTGCAGACGCAGTGGAGCTGCTCGGGAGACCTTCAAACGGCATCGCGTTCCGCTCAAACCAATAGTACCGATTCCAAAACCGGTCTTTACCCAAAACACGCGTCCGGGGACAATCCGCCTCTCGCAAATCATTATCCAGCACGGCGATATGTTCCTCGTATGACTTGACTTTGGCTTTTTCGTCTTCGATTTTCTTTAGGACACGCTGATACTGCTTCGATCCCTTGGGTGCCTTGGCGGCCTGTTCCTTTCTCTCACGCTCCTCCTCTTGCCGTCGTTTGCGCTCTGCGGCCCTATCTGCTCCACGCCGAAGCGATCTTCCTCCATGCACGTCTTCCTCATCGGTATCTCCAGCAGCCTCTGAGTTTTCATCCAAACCAGTCATCTTTACATCCGCTAGTTCTTCCAACTCAGGAACTGGTGATGGTGGGTGTTCAGGTTGAAGCTGTTTGCGTTCTTCATGCAACCGTCGAATCTCCTCAAGGCTAGCGAAAACGATTAGCTACCGTCCAGAATGGAGGGAAAAAAAGGGACAAATCCCCAACGCGATAACTTACCATGCTTTACGAGCCCGCTGATAGTCAATTTTCTCTTTGCGGAACTCAGTCATTTGAATGCTGCACTCTTCGAGATAATTCTTGATCGCCTTCGTTTCAAGTAGTAACATGCAGATAATTTGAAGAGCCTTCACTCGTAAATTGACGTCGAGGGTTACATATTGTTCTTGCGAGGTGTCTTGAGTTGGCTCACGGTCAAGCGGAGCCAAATGGGCTAGGATCTCGTCACAGGGTTTTTGTAGTCGCGGTCGGTAGGATAGCCTATGAAGGAGTCCGACCATAACTAATTCCCAACCACCTTTTTGGAAGTCTCGTTTCCGTAGGCGATCGATCCACCCATACTCTCCAAACATTTCCGCCGCGCGATGTATCTGTACTTCAGCCGTGCCAGACCGGCTCCTTGATTCCAATCTCCGCTTCAAATTTTCGGCTTCAGCCTTTGCATAACTACTTCTAGTGGTTCTTCTGGGCGGTGTCGGTTCTCGGTCCGGCTCTTCAATTTCTTCCTCTTCTTTATCGTCCTCTTCGTCCTCGGATTCTTCGTCGGGAAGGGCGGGTAGCGAGATCTGAACAGCGCCATCCTGATCTTTCTCATCGTTCACCAGCGTTTTCAACACCGCACAGTGTACTTCCACAAACAGCTCACAGGTAACGTCGTGAGAAGAAAACTGCATTGCTTCGACGAAATCATCGAATGTGAAGGAGTCTAATTGGAGAACCTGGCAATATACATTCAGCGTGTTCCAGGTTTCGAGAAGAGGTCCCATAGATTCCATTTTTATGTCACCACTGAGTAAACTATCTTCTCGCGACGACTTTTCCAGCAGCTCCGAGCGCTGATCATCAGTTAAGAATTTCACTGGCGGTCGTAGTTTATTGCTGTGAGAAGGTGGAATATCTAAATCCTCGATAGGGTATTTGATAGGGGGCGAAGGGGGAGGCGGCGGCGGGCCATTTTGAATGACGACGGAAAACGAGTTGGCGCTATCTTCGGGTATTTGCCAGACTCTGTCCGGGCCGAAACTGCCTGGAGCAGCAAAGGAAGGGTTCTCGTTCAAGGCTCGTTGGTATTCTAAATATTGATCTTCCCTTGCCTTCGCAAGTTCCCGGACGTTGGTTTTGGACTTTTGCCCCTTGGCAGCAGGTTTTAGGTTCGGCCATCTTTGTTTGGAATAAAAGAACCTGAAGAGGTTTTCGTCTTCTTCTTTATCGACAGCCACGTTGGCTTTTTTCCCTGCAACCCTATTTACATATTGAAGGTGTTTCGGGACCTCCGTATCAATCCTATATTCCTTGGCGATCTCGGGTTTGACTAGCCATGGCGCACCGGTCCACGACTCCCTAGTGACAGTATTTCTGATGAACGAACGCAGCATCTGTTTGGTAAAGATTTTCCGGTCTCGGATCAGGTGTTCATCGTCCAGCAATGCCTCCTCATTCGGTCGGTTTACCAATTTTACTAGATACCTTGACGATGCCCTTCGCTCTACCGTACCATCCTCGTTGATTAATTCTGGGAATCGGGCTTTCTCCCGAACAATGCCCTGCAGGCGGGATCCGTTGGTCAGGAGGACAGTAACGCGTTCGCCAGGGTAAAAATCTTGTTTAAAGTCCTTCAATTTCGTTAGTCATAATACGAATCCTTGGTTGGAGATCGGAAGGAGCATACTTCGAAAACTTGGTCGACTATTAAGAACAATTGAGATCAGCTTCAGGCCCGGGTTGTAAAACAGCGCAAAAAAGACGACTTACCAAGGCTGTCAATTCGCGAAATAGTTGAAAATTGAACTTTTCGCAAAACCGGTTCCTTCAACGGTTCCGGAAAGGCGCTATTCACTTCGCGCGAACCATCCGTCTGTTGCGCAGTTAGTACAGGAAGTACTTAATATCTCAAACGCAATTGAAGGAAAAGCAAGAAAAGCTGATATGCGACGTACTTCACTTCTTAGAGCCTCAAAAAAAGTAAGAGAGGAGTGACCCGTTATCTCGCAGATGAATCGTTTCTATATCCAATATCGACTTGTTAAGCACATCCATTCTCGTCGACGCGTTCGGACATGACTGATCAAGGTAAAAGTTCTCCGGGCGGCGGACGAAACGCAAGCGCGGAGCCTTGTTGATGTCGAGTTCGAGAGGGGGGGAGTTCATGGGTACATACCTGTTTGTAGAAGTTCATTCTGAATAGGGACCATATAATCAGCGATTTGCGCCGCGCATATAAAAGTAACAAGGGAGGAGAGGAGGAGGAAAATAGAGTTTTGAAAAGTGTGTGAACGCACCTATGAAGAAATTGCTGATACTTGGTGAACACTTCATTTGTTTCCGGGATAACCCAGACCTGCATTCCGCACAAGCACGAAAAGCACGGTACAAGTTAGATGATTGTCCGCTGAAAGAATAAATCCGCGAATGAGGGCAGTAGGCACATACCTCCTCGCTATCATCTTCAATGGTTGGTCGAGGGAGGTATTGGACGGGTTTGCGCTTGAATAGGACCTGATGGAGAGACAGAGGAGAGTTTTCCGTTAATATATATCTCTCCGCACGATTGAGTAAATTTTCCGCTGGTCGGAAACCAGCTGCAAGCGCGATAACAGTCCACATACCATATTGTTTGACTATAACAACGAAAGAGCTATACTTGGCCAGTCGGGCCCGTTAACGAGAAAACGCAATAGGAACCCGAATAAATTGTCCAAGCAGTCCCCCTGTCTGTCAAGCCCGACTAGCTCGGGTAAGAATATCCGGCTACGACTGAGAGGAAGGACCGAAAAATGTCTGTGGAGGCTTCGAGCTGTTATTATTGTTAGTATTTTTTTTTTCTTCGCTCCGCAAATACGCCAAGAAAATATAAATATTTCATCTATTCAGGATGAGGGAAGGAGAATCAATTGTAGGAAGGGATTTTAAATACGCGTCCGGCGGGCGATATTTTCTGGTGGCCATGGGGGGCCTAGGGAGGCAGGCATACCTGTGGAGACGGGAACGCGTCTAGAACCCGATCATCGGGTATAAAACACGGAGGAGGGTGTTGCTGCAGCTGATAGTGGTGGTAGAGGAATGAAGGACAGAGATAGAGGCTGAGTTGGTTGCGGTGGTTGAGGGTGCAGTTGAGGTCGGGATAAGAAGACGGGGGTGGTTGAGGTGGAGGCGGGAAGAAAAGAGGAGGAAGAAGAAAAGGGAAGAAGTTTCGGCAGGGCATTTGGGGGGGGGGGGGGTTGGTTGTTTGCCAGAGACAAGCAATAATAATAAATAATAATGGTAGCAGAGCAAAGTTAAGGCGGGCGATTAGGTTCATGGGTTAGGAAGGGTAAGGCACAGCAGCTAGGACGGGTTGGGTGCGGATTATTGGGGGTTGGCCCGAGGGAGGAGGGGGAGGAGGCCAATTAAAGGCGGACATGGCCACAGCTCCCAGGAAGTCCCAGATAGGCAAAAGGGGGAGAGGGGGGTGTCGGGCACCGGGGGTCGCTCAGCCATGGGTTATCGCCGAGGGATACGGCTGCTGCGACGGGCGGAAGAGGTCTGAGGCGGACGGACTGGTGTGTTAGTCCCGATTGAACAATATTAAATAGACGAGAGAATATAGATAGGTAGGGTAGGAGGGATGTATGGTACGACAGAACCCAATATCTTTCTGTAGTCCTGGAGGTTTTGGGTTTGGGGTCTCCTTCGTCTCTGACAGTGATAATGGAGGATAATGCAAAAGGCGGGAGACGTTTCATCGTACCGGGTCTCTTACAACAATACAAGTTACCGCTGCGTAACTCTGTAAGTTGGTCCGTCGGGAGTGCTCGAGTATACATCCGACTATACGGAATACATATACAATTACGAATTTCAAACTCCATTCAAAAATTCTAGCTATCCTCCATCCTTTATTTCTAGTTTATATCTTCTCTCATAGATCCCCAGCGGCCATAGCCCTCCCTGATCCATCCCACCAACCCCCCGTCAGTCAATTTTGACGTTCCCCGTAATTTTCCCGGCGTATCGTACCGTATCGTACAAACAACAGGGCGCTGCGGGCCCATGAAGCGGGCCTGGCGTCAAACCATAAACAGCCTCACCCCAAAAAAAAAAAATAATAATAAAAAAGCCCTTCGTCAACGAAACCCCAACCCACCTGCTTCCATCCTCAACTTTTGCTTATCCCACCGCCTCCACGCCCGTCCCCGGCCCACTAGCCAACCCCCCCATATCTACCCTCGTTCGACGCAGAATTGGCAGAGCTTTCTCACAACCTCATTTATATGTCGATTTTTGATGTGCCTATTTTTAACTAACTCAAGGAATAAAAGAAAGGGGGGGCCATCGGCTTGGTTCCCCTTTGCACGCACCCCCCTTGGATGATCGGCCTAGCACGGGCAGCATACTATACTCCTCGCTCAAACTGGAACAGGAGGCGAGTGAGGAAGTTCAATGCATCATACCTCAGTTAAGGCGTAAATGCGCTTTCTTCTGGTTTAACCATTTGTATAGATTAACCCATTATATCAACCTGGCATCGTGTTCATTTGATACCACTTTTTAATTTCTGCTTTAATTTCCGCTATAGTTGAAGGGGGATATCATACTTTTTTGTCTCTACCGCCTCAGGAATGGAATTTAACATATACTACTTTGAGACCTTAATGGAATTACACGAGGTTAGGTGGGATATACCAGAGTAGCAATAATCTGATAAAAACAAATAGGTAATAAACTTTATATTATCAACCCTTTGAAAAAGAAAAATATCTTTCAAATACCCATTACTATCATTCTACATCTGTCCAAAATCTCTCTTACTCTACACATCCTACGCAGTGAAATAAACAACCATAAACCCGACCCAACTCCCCACAACCCCCAAAGCAGCATACGAACTAGTAAACATCAACGGCAAAAACTCATACCTGCCCCCTCCAAAGACCAACCCATGCACAAACGAACAATACACAATCAACGGAATAGCCACACTATCATACAACATCGAAAACCGATCCAGCAAGAAAACTCTCGGCCGCACAGGCACCGGCGCCAGCCTCTCAAAAGCAAACATAAACAACACAAGCCAGAAAATCGTATAGACGATCTTGACGGGAAACTCGGCGGCGGTGAATAGCAGCGGAAAAAGGGAGACATGCCCCGCGACGGCGAGCGGCCGGAAGGCGCTGAAGTATCGCCGGTCCTTGAGGGCGAGCAGGCTGAAGGGGATGATTACGAGGAGGATTGCCTTTTCGTGGACATGCCAGCCGAAGAGGAAGGAGGCGTAGCCGCAGAGGGTCACGGCGCCGATGAAGGTGTCCCAGTCTGGTTGGAACCAGAGTTTGGCCAGGCAGAGCTGTTTTTTTTGGTTTTAGTTTGAGCTGAGTACGCAGAGAGGAGAGGGAGGGGTGTTGGCTAGGGATGGATGGGTGGAAGGGGAAAATCGGGGATAGTGAAAGGTCTGCATACCAGTTGGAAGAAAAGAGTTAAGCCGAAGGTGTGTTCTTTTGTCACTTCGGGAAGAACGGCGAAGGAGGTATCTCCCACCAGCCCCCTCGTGACGCTACCCAGAGCACTTGGATCAACTTTTAAACCAATAGATGGTGCGACTGGGGTTTGTGGAATGAAAGCATTGTTAGCTATTTGTTTTGCCATTGACTATAGGGATGGGAAGGAGCAAAAAAAAATGACTGGGCCAGCCGAGGCATATAACATTACCTAAAATAAGCACCCGATCAACAAACGAGTACATAGCCCATACGTTCGGCGCCCAGTACGCATGGCACAGTCCACGCGAGAACGGAAACAACCGGGCCTTAATCTGGCCCAACTGGCCCCAGTAAACAAACGGCCCAAAAGCAGCACCAAAGACGCTCAACACACCGACACCAAGTTTGATGATGTTACCGAATCTGGGGCGGAAGATTGATGGCGATTTAGGGTGCAAGCAATAGGCGCGGAGCAAGTAGACGAAATATGCTAGCGAGAGGTAGAGGTAGATATGTTTCAGGCAGAGAAGGATGGCAAATGTGATCCCGCTGTGGAGGAGAGTGGATTGCTTCCGGGCCAGTACAAGGGACAGGATGAAAATCCCGTAAAGAAATCCGTTGTATTGGAAGTGGATGTGGTCGATGATTAGGAGGCCGGGGGATAGGAGGATGGAAAGCGCTGCTGCGTGAGCGAGCCGTTTACTCCCAAGTTCCACTGATTGGATATGTCTACGCATTTAATTTTTTCCCGAATTAGGACAAACCACCCTTCAACCCCTTTTTTTCAAAGCGGAAAGGAGAAACGCACCGGTGAAGTGCAAATACAAGAACAAGCTCCAGCGCAATGACAGAGAATCGCTGGAAATAAACGGTTTGCCAGGTGTCATAGTTCAGATTATCCAGTTTCAGCATAGCTGGGTCAACATAGACAGCCACCTGCGAGAGTAGCCATTCTAGCGCGCCGAAGAACGGTGGGTAGTCCAGAGTCCATTCGGAAGTTTTCTGGATATCAAATGTTAGTTTCGTTTAACCAAAATCAATAACCTTGATTGAAAATAGCATAGAAAAATAAAATTAAAGTAAAATAATTGGAGTCATAGACAACAAAGCTCTCGACACAACATACCTCGTAGTACCACTTTTCCACAGGCAGGGAATGGGTTATTGCCAACCAATTACGGTGGACTTCAAAATCTGTTGATTTACTTCAACAAAGAAAACATCCGTTAGTTCAAGCACTTTGATTTTCATGCCTGTTTGAGTATTCAACTTCTCATATCGAATTGTTTTTTTCAGGCTTTAAAACATACTATGCTGGAAAGAGCAGGACCTTGAACGCGGTAGCAATAACCGCGCATTGCGCCAACGAGGGGTAAAAGTCCTCCATAGGACATGATTGTGGGGAAGTTTACTGAGAAAAAAAAAATATAATAATACACAAAATGTGGAGAAGAAGAGAAGAAATTCGGCGCCCAACCTGTCACTCCTGATGGGGCCCGAATTGAAGCTCGATATTTCTCGGGGTGAAGTTGAGGTTGAAGCTTGGATGTTTGCTTTGTTTGACAAGTCGAACCTTGGAACCCTTGACGTTTTAGAGGTCACATGATCTGTCAAACTTCCACTTCCCTGTCACAAAGCCAAGTTACATCTTGGCGCGTTTGGCACGTTTGTTTGATTGTAAACAACTTCCCCTTAAAACGTCTGAGGACAAGCTGGCCGAAATAAAGCGTTTGAATACTAATTCATCTATCTTCTTTGAACAAACACGCGCCCAATGAGGAACGAAATTATAGGCTAGATCAGCTTACATTAGCAATTTCTGTTAGATCTGATCATACATTTATTTCCTTCATTGTGTCCCATTCTTGCATCTCAACCATAGACTATTGGAGCCCCGCAAGCTTTTCTCCCAGTCTGAACTTGAGACTTCAACAAACCTTGCAGATATAACTCGGCCTTGTTGCTGTGAGGGGCGGGATAATAGGGGTGCTGTTGGGAATAGCTTGCGGCGGTTGTCTTTTGTCCTTTTCATATAATCTTCTTCACTTGGATCTACCATTTCCGGGGATCTGTAATATCATACCCCCCTCCGTGAATCCGCAATGGTTCAATCATGGGGAATTACAAAATTCCTGACTCTGGTTTCAGCCTTTGTTTCAGTTTCACAGGCAGATTCTATTATTGAGAAGGCGAGCTTTGGTCTCAATGGGAGGTATGTTTATGCTATTCCAAGGTCGTATCTCTCTTTGACACCAAGACTGTTTTCTGACAGTTACATTCAGGATATCGGCAGACAAGCATTTAATCCCCGGCTGGCAGCTGTCTGGCACGGGGCATACCCCTCATAAGGTGTGATCCAATACTTACTGAATATAGTATGACAAGGCTTTCTCTCTAAAAAAAAATGATCTAGTTGTCTGATCGGATCATTTTGACGCCTCCGTATACGGGCAACAAACGGGGTTCGCTGTGGTCGGAACAGCCGTAAGTATATACTCTTACTACCCTGCTAGATGTAGAGAGCTTGAGAGATACTAACTTACTGGAAAGGTTTGATAAAGCCGAATGGACTGTCGACTTCGAATTCAGGTCCAATGGTGCGGATAGGGGAGGCGGAAATCTCCAGCTGTGGTACGTGAAGGATGGACCGTCTACGGTCTCAACATCGAGTATATACACTGTTGGTAAATTTGATGGATTTGCTCTTGTATTGGATGTGCAGGGTGGAAGGGTAAGTCGTCGATGGCCCTGAGGCTTATATTATATATAACGTTCCGCCCCCGGTGCGGGTCCCCTTGTTAACTGTTTTTATCTAGGGTGGAAGCATCCGAGGATTTTTAAATGACGGCACCACAGATTATAAAACTACAAACGTTGACAGCCTAGCATTTGGACACTGTGACTATGCATACCGAAATCTCGGACGCCTCTCTCACATTCAAATCCAACAAACGAGATCAAGGTTCAAGGTTTTGGTTGACGGCCGTGAGTGCTTTGCAACAGAAAAGGCGAGTTCCCCACCATTATATAAATCATCCATTGTGTAAATAAATATCCAACTAACAGCCAACAGGTGTTTGTTCCATTGGGCAACACTTTTGGAATAACAGCCGCGTCTGCCGAGAACCCAGACTCTTTTGAAGTCTTCAAGTTTGCCTTGAGCATACCAGATGCAACAGCTCCTGGAGAGCAGGGATACCAGCATCGGCCTTACGAAAACCAGCAGTTTCCAAACCGCAACGCCCAAAACGCGAACCCAAACCAGCAACGAGCGCCTAATGTTGACAACAGTGCCATCGATCAGCGGCTAAATGACCTGCAAAGTCGTCTGAATGCGCTAGTTGGCACTACCGAAAGACTCTTGACTGAGATGCATTCACTATCCAGCAAAGTCGATGAGCGTCATCAGGATACACTGAAAAAGCTAGCTCCAAGTCGTGACCAGGCCGGTCAAATAGAACAACGGATGCAGCGTATTGAAAACATGATCCAGGCCGTGCAGAAGGATGTGAAAAACTCTGAGCTCAAGAAGCAACTGAACAAACTGCAGGACTCCTTGAAAAATTCCCACTCGGGAGTGATTGAGCAACTCCAGTCAACTTCACATCGTACGTATATATCTTTCGCTCTCTTGAAAATTTTTAGTACCTTTTTATGACCTGCCATACTGGAATTATCCAAAAGAAAGCCCCAAAACTCACTATAGAAACTTCCTTGCTTTTAGAGATACTATCTTCCACGCCACGAATGGGATTCTTCATTTTCCTAATAGTTGCGTTCCAACTTGCCCTTGCCGCTTCGTATATCATGTACAAACGACGTCGCGCAAACATGCCAAAAAAATTCCTGTGAGGTGGATAGCACTTTACTCTTCACCATGCTTCCTCTGTCAGAGAAGGAGGGGAAAAAGGAAAAAGAAACCCCCGGGCACGCTCAAATGACGGACCAAAATACCGAACGAAACAGCAAAATGAAACATGACAACGCGATAAATATAAGGAATGATATCACAAACAAAGGAAATCGATACGGTTATTTAAGCGGAAAGAGAATGGAGAATGGAGAGGAAAGATTAGCAAAAACCCACATGGAGCGAAATGAGATATTTATACCCAACCCGCTAGCTTTTGTGCCTTCTTCGGTTGGCAAACTACCTCTTGCCCCATATTTGTTACACTTCACATTAGACGACAGCCTTTCTTTGAATTTCGTTTACCGTTACCCTAACTGCCAGCCAACCAGCCTGCTTCACCTTCTGTTTGTTCTGTTCTATGGCTAACCTCCTGTATATTACCCCTTTTACTATTATTGGCAGTATTTTTCTCTCGATTTTCGGTTCCAGCAACATCAGTTGCAAGGTTGAAAATTCCCACTCCCATGTTTTCGCTTTCTCTCTTCCTCCTTCCAATCTCACCTTATTGATCGTTTCTTGCTCATGTTGTGCTTCTGGGGGTTTTCTTTTTTCTCTCTCTCTCTCTATCTTTTTTTTTTTTTTTTTTTTTTCTTTTTTTTCTATTCTTCAAATTCACCACCTATTTTTCCATATATGTCCGCTCCTGTTGTGCTAATGCTTAAATTTCATCCATGATTTTTCCCTCCATACCCCCATTTGCTAACGGCTAGGAACGTTCTTATTATTTATTGTCTTTCCTTTCAAGTTATAAGTTATATCAAAATGGCAGCAGACGCGTTTAGATTGGATTGAATATTATATTAATATAACCCCCAAATACCATTTCACCACCGTCAATAGTAGTATATATTCATTTCTCTTCACTAATGAGCTTTGAAATAACACTCGAAAAGTTATTGCTTCCGGCTACTTCCTGGATTAATAATGATTTAAAGGATCAATGTTTTACCAACTAGTTAGCGAATTAATAAAAGAAGCCCATAGAATAAAGAAGAAGAAGAAAAGAATACAAGATTAGAAAAAGAAAGAAAAAAGAAAAAGAAAGAAAAAAAAAAAGAAAGAAAGAAAGAAAGTCCTACTTCGTGGCCATCCCGATTTACCCGCTAATTAACATTCTCCGCACTGTGAGAGGCGATTTGATGGTCGCCCAAGGAAATGCCAAACCTAAAATTAATTACTGGCTTCCCGAGGCCCTTCCTGCCTTCAGGGGAAGGCGGATAGGTTCTAACATCTACGCTGCGTACAAATTGACGTTTTCTTCAATTTTTCACGTACAATATGTGGAAGGATTAGTAAGCCAGATCACGTGACCTGACACAATATGTTGGGGTTCCCGCGGTTGATCGGCCCTTCTACCAGCAGCGCTGGTGGTGATCGAGCTCTTTTGCCCCAGTAGCCTACACAATACATACACGACGCCGCGAATTGCACGCTGGAATGTCATGTATGTATATATATATATATACATGCAATAAAAAAGAGTTAGCCAAAAAAAAAAAAAAAAAAAAAAAAAAAATATCAAGTTTCTGTCCAGAAGACGGGGGCTTCTGTTCACACACACACTCGGTTCGAGTGGTTCTGTCTATACTGTACATACATGAGCGGAAGATAAAAGCAAAGCAAAGAAACAAACAACAAAAGTAGCTGTCTAGCCTGTTAAACACGATGGATGGTACAGAACATAAAGAGCAACCGAAAGCAATAGCAAAAACGGTAGTTATTTTCTGTAATCGAACATGTATACAGCAACAATGATCACCACGGAGATCCAATTTCAACCCGGCAAATCGTTGACCCGTGATGAGTGTGATAAGGGTCGATGAGGAGACAAAACACATGAGCGTACAGGGTATCAATCACCCAAAACAATGTCTCTGTGAGAGACAGGTAAAAGAAAAATCATCAAAGTCTCAATACAGAAATTTCAGACTCCCAAACTCCAAGCAAACCCACCCTCGCTGGGTAATAAATGTCCTTTTTTGTAGAAGAAATCCGAGAAATATCTCCAATGGCAAGATACAAGATAAACAGGAAAACCTAAGAAAATGTCAAACCAAAACTCCTGTTCGACAAAAAAGCGGATGTCTTCCTTAACTCCGACCCAATGCATTTGAAAAGGAAAAACCGAAAAGATAAAATGAAAAAAACAGCTTTTCTGCTCAATATAGTTTATACAGTAGAATAATATGCTCAAAAGGGCGACATAGAAAGAAAAATAACAAATGAAGACGTATTCGTTTGTAGAAGGCGGCAGTGGAAGGCGAGAGGGATTCTTATGTCCGAGGGGGAGATCGCCGTATGGATTTAACGCTAGGGGGTCGGGAAAACATCGAAATAGCGCAGTCATTCACGGGAAGAGATGTGGTAAGACGGGATTGGCGAGTTCCGAAGTAAAGCAGAAGACGCTATCATTCACCCTCCCCTTTTCAAAAAGGGAAAAACATAAAGTCCAGAACTTCACAGCGAACCATCGCCAGTACCATAGCCGCATACCGGACACAGGCGGAGAATCGTTGTGTCTACTACACCCTATCACAAGGGCATTGAGACGCGGGACCGAGGAACGAAGGAATAAAAAAAAACAAAAGGTAACAAAGCGAGGCACCAACACCGAGATTCGCGTTGGAATGCGGTTTCTGGATGTCATGTTCTATATCACGAGAAAAAGCACAAGAACCTGAGCGGGTCAATCATGGGTGGCAGCTGCGTTAACCAAGACCTGCAATCATAACACATGGGGTACGGAGACCGTATCACTCGGTGCTAAACTACCTAACTTTCCTCAGCTCTGGGGACAATGATTCGAAGACCTGTCCGTACACCACGTGGCGGGTGTACCATGGATATAAGAGAGCGAGTACTAGCTAGTAGAAGGCTACTAACGCACCAACGTTCCCAACCCTCTCAAGCAGCAGGGTGGTCCGAAGATCACGAGCGGGAGAAGAGATACTAATAAGCAGTAGCGGAGCCCGAGGTCAATGCCTGGATGCGTTGATTGGCCGAATCTTGGATGGCCCGGAGGAGAGAGATTTCGTCAGTGTCCATGCGAGCACTCTCCGGAACGTTCGCAAGGAGCTGGCTGACCAGCAGTGCGGCCCGCTCAGGATACGCGGGAGCAGCCGGCTGAGTGGCTGCCGCCATGCCTCCGAGTGCGATGACAGCGTCGCGCTCGGCCGGTGCCAATTGAGACAAAGCAGCATCCGCATCCGCATCTGTATTTCCCCCCCGGTTCTGAGCGGTGGAAGCCACGGCAGTTTCCTGGGCGGAACTGTTGGAGGATACAGTGTCTTTGGCATCCTGAGCGTTCGTATCACATTCCGGCGCCACCGGAGTAGCTGTAGCCTGGACGGTTCGCACCGCAGCGGCCTTAATAGCTGCCAAAGCCTGGGTTTCCACATAATCACTGGAAAGGGTCAGCAAGTAAAACACAGCAAAACTATGATACAGGTTATAACAACATACCGTTTGACACGACTGACGAAATCCATCACAACGCCGCGTTCTGACACACGATATACAGCACCGGCTATCTCTTGCTCATCGAAGTGCTCCGCCTCGCTGTCGCTGGGAATGATCTCAATGTCGATGAACTTCGGGTTGCGCGGGCGACGAATGTGTGCGAGACGTCCCCGCCCGATACCATCCAGGTTAGCCAGGTCGTGATCGATGTGGTTCGGGCATTTCCAATGTAGTGCCCGGTTTTCGCTCCCAGGCACCTGTGGCGGTGGGTTGGACCGCGGCGGGTCAAGACAATCCAAATGCCACGAACAAGGACAGTAGTCGCATTGGATGATTGGCCGGCGCCCGTTGGACGTCAAGCCACACCTAATGCAGGTGATCAGCTTTCCCTTGGCATCAGTAAGCCGTAACAAAGCGTTACGTTCGTCAAGACGACCCGTGCGGTTCCCTCGAGGGCGACTACCGCCCCTCGGAAGAACGGGGACTTCTTTGTATACCCCGTCTTCGCCCGTTTTCGCTCCCTCGAAGAATTCACGGATCTCGGGTGGTAGCTCGTAGTTCTTCGGCGGCATGTTCTCCACCGCTTCGATCAGGGGACCCATTGTTCCCTTGACCCTACAAGTAGGGCAGAACCACTCTCCTTCGGGGGGTGATTTTGGGTCCATGGGTGGTGCTAAACATTCGAAATGGAACGAGTCAATACACCCGTCACAGCACAGAAGCTGTCCGCTACCGTTACACAAGCGACAGAAATCTATGTTATCGATTTCGTCCGGTGGCCTATAAGCAAAACGGAATCTGTCAGTATGAAGGTAAACACTAAAAAATAAGCCACATCCAACAGATGGTATGTGAGCTAAAACATATGGAAATCACTTACGCTACAGATTTCCGTGTTCTCTTGGGAGGTTTCTGCTGAACTACTGGGGCAACTTCATCTCCGGCTTCACTCGACTCGAATGTCTCTCTTGATCTTTTGCTACGGGTTGAAGGGGCTGACTGCGGTGTGGGAGAGGCCGTTGAACTGGCGGCAGGGGTTCTGGAGGGTCGAATGTGGCTTTCTGGTACAGGAAAGTCATTGAAGGTCTTTCTCAACGCTAAACGCTTTGCTGCAAGGGCTTCGTCCGAGTACTCTGGATCGTCTATTCTCTTGCGTTTTCGAATCTCGGCGTCTTCTAAAGATGGGAAGATGGACTGAGACCTGGTGGGGACGGACCGTGTCTTTCCCTTGGCGTGTGACCCTCGTGCTCCTTTGCCTTTTGCATGAACAGAGTTAGCCGCACGACCAGAGGTCATTGCAGGGGCGAAGGTTTCGGCATCGAGAGATTTTGCAGAGGATAGCGATGACGAGGTGCTAGCAGCAGACTGGGTACGCGTCATGGTAGTAGCTTCGTGGGTGGGAGCTTCGCGTCGATCTTTTTTGACTGCATCTCGCATAACAGTTTGAAATAGTGATTTCTCATGAGGCCCAGCCTGTTTGCTGAATACTCCCTCCAGAACAGCGAAGAGGAATTGATCTTTACTCGTCGCATCCCTGATGCGTCGCAGGCCATTGACAACTTTAATATCCTTACGCTCCTCTGCGCGCGCGATGGCGGCGTCAACAACTTGTAAAATCTTTTCCGGTGGATATTTCAAAGTAGGCGGCGTGGAAAGTAGTGTTGGTGGATGTGGATGACCGTTAACGGGTGCGGTCTCCGTTTCTGAGTGGTTGTTCCCCATTCTAGAGCGCGTCGAGCTTAAGACTTGATCTCCGTTCTCGAAGGGTTGAAACCCGCCCTCCATGAATGGACTTTCTGATGGCGCAGGCTCCTCCGCGGAAGTCGAAGCAGTTCCCGGCCTGTCGTCACCAGTGGGTGTTGATTTTGCAGATTTAGTGCCGTTTTTCTTGGCAGGAATTGGAGTAGAAGATTTCACAGTAGGTATCAAACCGAGTCGTCGACGTATACTGATCGACGGAAGTACACCTAACGGAGTAGTACTAGCTAGATGATAGGTCTTCTCACCTTTCTTTGAGTCGAATTTGTAGCTTGGAGTTGGAGGGGGCAATTCAGGCTCAACCCACGGCTCGTCCCATCGTGAGGGGGGTAACTGTGTGTCGGCTAGTGTTGTTGATTGATT